TACAAGTTTGCTCAAGATTTGCACAACAGTTATATGGAATCGTAGCTTGTGTTAAATTGCTGTTGTTGCATTTTTATGAGGGAAACAGAATCTTGTGGCAATTTTTTATTTATTTATTTATCATTGTTTAGCACTAAGGTTAAAGTATGGAGGATGAACATTATTGCAATCATTGCTCAGTATTGAATGTCATTCGAACGCCACTGCTTTTATGTTCATAATAACGAATTCCTGAAAGCTAAACATTTCCCTTTAAACTACAGGAAGTAGATCTAAGAGTTTTTATATAAATTACATGCTTTTAGTTTTCCAAAAATAGTTTCAGTGCTGGTAGCCTATGTACACTGCGTTGTTACTCACTCTTCTCTAAGGTCTTTGTGAGTCTCTGTTGTGACGTGCCCTGAACACACACCTCTTCAAACTGACAGAACTGGCTTCTCTCCGCGCTTGTGGTTTGGCTTCCATCCTCCTCCACCAACTGGAGCTTTCTGCTGATTTTCAGGAATATTCACTTATGGCACACAGACACACTCACACGCATGCACGCACGCACGCGCACGGACGCACACACACATACACACACGCACACACACACACACGTTTGTGTTGCTATCTTTGTGGGGACTTTCCATTGACTTCCATTCATTTCTACAGCCTAAACCTTACCTTTACCCTTTTCCTAACCCTAACCCTATATATATAGCATTTTATAACAAATGAAGGTAACATAGTTTCTTGATTGGGCTGTAAAATGGCACTCTGTGACTGGAACGCAGATAATACTGTCTTAAAAGACGTTAGCATTACAACAATACACTTTTTGGTTGTTCAGTTTTATTGTGAGTTGTAGAATCTGCCAAGAATGCTAAAAAACTCTTTAATATTTCTCTCTGGGAGGAATTTCATGTGAAAGCACATGCCCTTGGTGAGCAGGTGCATCATTTCTGATGAAGTTGAGTTCATCAAGAATTTTGAAAGTTATACTGAAAAGAGCAATTCCTCAAGAGAAATACATTTTCTTACATGATTGCTTTAGTGTCAGATTTTTCTTTGATGGCTCAGTTTGATCAGAGAAGGTTTAACCAGAAGTTTCTACACATCTGCAATGTAGAAGTTTTATGAAGCATGGTTAGTAAACGTGATTTGGAAACAAAACTAATATGGCTGCTTTAGATTATTGATAAAAAAAAAATGCTTTGCAGTGGATTTTTAACCTGGTTTATGTTAC